AATGACTCTTTCCTTGATTAAAGTCCTTTGACACAGCTACAAAAAAAGCTATGGATCACTGATAATTTTATGTTTGCCCACTCAACCATGTGATACTTTATTTCATCTCTGTGATCCTCTTCGGATTTTTTTTTGAGGTATCATGTGAGAGATATCATCTCTCATATGTCAACATATTTGATTAATCTTGAACTTCTTCACCTTTTAACGTTTTCTTGGCAATCTTCATAAAACCAGTAATATAACTGTGTTTATATAGTGGCTCCACCTTGAAGTATCATATAATTTCTTGCAGTCATTGGTGAATTCTCTCTCACAACATGGATATGGGACAGGAGAACATTGTTATATATAATATTTTTTTGTTAAAAGTGGGAAGACAAAGGCCTTGAAATATTAAATGACTTGTGTAAGATTGCAGAGTATCTTCTACTGCAACAGAATTAAGAGTAAGCCTGGTTTAGGTCATAATAAAAGGCAATATTCCAGTGCTGTTTTGTCTTCATCAACTTCTTTAACATTTACTCTTGTCTCTTGCTCTTTTGTGTAAATTCTGGCTAGTTGCTGTGCTTTTCTCATCCATGACAGATTTTTGTTAAGCATCTTGTTGATTTTCCCATATTGATGTGTGGTTGCTCTGCTTCTTCCCTTCTTTTCCATCAATGTCATCCTCTTTCATACAAGTCTCCCCTATGATGGAGTTCCAGATCATCTTCTCAATTTCTTACTCCATTAACAAGTGTGGTTTTATTGGCTGTTATTGTTAAGAATGACACTTTTCACCTGAAGGATCTTTCTTATAAAAATGGAACAGAACAGAGTATGAAGTGTCATGATTTTTTACTATCACCTAAAAATGCATCATCAGTTATGAACAGTTATCAGGATGGCTTGGAGACTGAGGGGAATAAAAATTTTTTTTTTTTTTTTTTTTTTTTTTTCTCTACTGTTTAACTACACTGGAAGACAGCGAAAACATTTTAATTGCATTTCTAGTATCAAGCTTTCATGCAGGTAATTGCTGTAGTAGCCTTTGAAAATGCGAGAGAGGCTTATCCAAGCCAACATAAATCACAAGTGAGATGCCTATGAGATAATCTTACTTGAAAGATATAACTGTGTCCAAGAATGTCTGCTTCTCAGCACTGAATGTAAACTGCCCACAAATCCTGACAGTATTAACCTGTTTGCTTTCACCATCTTTCTTCCATGTTATTTTTAAAAATTATTTCACTGTGTATTTTCACCTATATTTGAATGTTTGTCATTGTTGTTGTGATATGGCCGTGGGAAGGGAGAAGAAAGAAATCAACTGTTTTAGAAAGCCTGAGATCTCAGCTCGCTTGATGTTGCTACTTTGCCTTTGCTAACTGCGGTCACATGAGGGCACTGCATCTGTCAGCAAGAGTTTCAGTTTCTTCATGGTGGCAAACATTGCATACTGTCAGTCATTTATAGATTATATACTATTATGTGTTACCAGAATAGCTCCTGCACTTGGATCTAATTTCGGCATTAGAAGGACCAAGTAAAAAAAAAGAAAAGAATACAGATGGAAGAAAGTGCATTGAGGTTTATCTAAGGAGGTCATGTACCCCTGCTTAGAAATATACCATTCTGGCATATTTCTTCACCTTTTGTCGTGAAATAGAGTCAGTCCTTTAAAGTTCTGAGAATTATTTCTCTTGTGTTTTTACTCTGGAAATGTAATATATGCTGGGAGCTGTTGATCAACTATTTGTAAATGGTGCAAGAAGCAATTCTTGATACAGGTTTTGTTCCTAAACGTGACTCTCTCTCAGGTGTTTCCCTGATGAAACAGAGCTTTACCACTGCTGCTGGTGGGTCACATCATGGTGGTCTCTTTCAGATATTTTTAGCCCGGTTGCACATGAAACTTTTACTGTTATACCAACGTTGGGTGGGAAGAATGGTCTCCCCATGTAATATGGTGTAAAGTGTGTGTACAACCCAAATTCAGGAAAATACTAGTGGAGGGATGAGGGAAGGCTGTAGTGATTATTAAGTGATGCTCTAACCTGCTCTGTCATGCCTGGTATGTGCAGGCTACGTTAGAGCGGTGAGTTTAATGCAGCTTTTAGAAACAGCAAGTATTGTAAGTCACAAAGTGCTATTCTTCACACAACTCATTTAACTTGAGCAACTTATCTGAGCTATGCTGGCTAAAATAAACTATGTTCAGAGCATTGCTAGTATGGTATGGCTAGTTTTTTTAAGGTAGAGCTGCCTACAAACTCTAACCAAACAGTCTCTGAATTCCACAAGGCTTTTGCTGGAATAAGAACCCTTGTTGTTACACTGAATGTGTTAAGTTTCATTTAGGTTCCCTCTGGGCTTGTAAAATTCTTCATACAACAAATGGTCTAAGAACAGTGCGGAAGAGTTTCATTTCTCTGGGCATCCTGTAACTCATCAGTGTTGGGTCTTTTTGTTTGCAGAATGGTTTGTCTCCGTTGCACATGGCAACACAAGGAGATCATCTAAACTGTGTCCAGCTTCTGATTCAGCACAACGTGCCTGTAGATGACGTCACTAATGACTATCTGACTGCGCTGCATGTTGCCGCCCACTGTGGCCACTACAAAGTTGCCAAGGTTCTCTTGGACAAGAAAGCTAATCCTAATGCCAAAGCACTGGTGAGTACACAGTGGGTTACTATTCACAGCTAAACATTCTTCCAAAATTGCAGGGAGACTTATTTGTGAGTTATTTTCTGCCCGCTGGTGGTTGACAGTGAGGATGTGTTGTATTGCTGCAGTCCAAGAGAGGATGCTCAAGGTTCACAGTTTTCATAATGTATCATGCAATCAGAGTAGACCTTTGCCTACGGACAGTGATTAATTAATTTCTAGTGTAACTAGAGCACTTTTTCCTCCTGGTAGCTTGTTATGATTCTGAATACATGAAGCATCTGCAGACGTAACTGCTGTAGTTTTTGGTATGAAGTGAATTCTTATTTTCTAAATGTTTGTAAAGAGAAAATGATCAGCAATGCTTAAAATTGAGAGAATTTTTATTAGCTCTCAAACATGTGAAACAGTAAAAAGTAGGAATAAGTAACATAACAAATACTTGTGGTGTTTCATAATTATGTCAATGAAGACATATGCCAAAAGTACAATACTTTTAAAACAACTTCAGGAACAAAATCTTAGTGTAAATAAACTGCATACAAACTGAATACACTAATGCATTTTCTTTGAAATTATATGCAATACATTGTTTCTAAAATGTCTTTTTCATTTGTTCTTCAATAACTGTTCCAAACAAATTTACATTCTGACATTAATTGGGTTGACTGTTGGTTTCACAGCGTGATACAACTAACTCGTTCAATTCCTGAATTATGTGAGCTCCTGAAACTGTCACAAGCCAGGTGGGATTGACTCTCCTGAAAACAGCACAGGCTCCATAAATTTTGTTCTCCCAGCCCCTCTGTTTTTTTGTTGTCAGGTGTCTTTGCTCAAGGTATTATGGTATATGGGGTTTGTTCACTATAACCAGCAACTGGGGAGGCGTGCAGGCCTGTAATATTTATTTTTGCCTTCTGAAATAAATCATCATCAGGTTTAGCTTGTCCAGGTTGCTGACTGTGGCCTTTCATTGGTCTGGTAACCTATCCACAAATTCCCTTTTCCCCTAAATCTTTTAGTGTTTCCTTTTATTCTGTCCTGATCCCCACTCAGGGTGATTAAGCAGAAGGAACCTGAGTGCAGTATCTGGAGCCTGAGCTCACTCTTACCTGAAACCCATCTGAGCTTACCCTGGACGTTGTCCACTGCTAAGGAGAGAGTTGAGAGCTGCTCACATTTGGCTGGAACAGACAATTGCACTGACCTCATGTTACAAAAGCATATGATGTTCTTTACTATTTGTTAGATAAAAAAGCTAATTTTGATCAGATCTGAGGGACCGGTTCTGTCAGCTGTTTTCAGAATCATTCTGCAAAGGCTTTGTTGACGAATATACAGAGTGGGATCAGCATTCAGTGCACTAGTGTTATTGTACCAGTCGTGGATGCTCTGAACAGGTTATTCTCCTGTTTTATTTGTTTTCTTTTGTATCATCTCATGCCAAATAAGATGGTAGTTTTAAACATTCACTCTGCTGCACATGCAACTTTTTTTTTAAAGGAGAAGGCAAAACAATTGTAATTACAGTAAACTGGCAGATAATGAATTTAAAAAAAAATAATAGTAAGATTAGTTTAGAAGAGGATCTAAATACCAGAGCTTGTAAAGGTAAAGTGCTTTTTTTATCAGCAGTTCTGGAAAGTCAAAAAAGCCCCAAGCCCCCAAAAACCTTCAACAAAAAACCCCACCCAGTTAACAGTGAATATCCTTAGGCAAAAATGAAGCTTTTGATAGTTTTATGTGAACCGAGAATTTAAAAAAAATAATTTCTTCATTGGAGTGGGCAATATATTTCATAATTAAAACTGTCTATGTGAAATATGTATTTTTAGAAGCTTTCTCTCTTTTACATTAACAATTTAATGAAGCCAAAACAAGCCTAGGAGGTGTTTTGTTAAAACAGAGGAATGTTTTATGTGAATTCCATGCCCAAATCTACTTTTTAATGATATATGTGTTATCAAAAAGTTTATTCTTTCTCATTTACAGAATGGTTTCACACCTCTTCACATTGCCTGCAAGAAGAACAGAATAAAAGTAATGGAACTTCTTCTGAAGCATGGTGCATCAATCCAAGCTGTCACTGAGGTAAGTGGTCTTTCCACATTTGTCTTTGTTTTTCCTACAAAATTCATTGTAACTCTATTTATTAATTCTTTTTTATTTCTGAAAGAGCATGTACTAATATTCAAGTCACCAATTATTTTCAACTAGATATTACTAAATAATAAAACTGAATAATGAAGTCAGTTGCCCTAATGGATCACAACACCCAAACAATTGATACACTTTGGGAATACAGTGGGGATAACAGGTGAAACATAACAGATTTTAAAACGTTTTTTTTAACAAATTTAAAAAAAAGATTTATAATTTCTGCCAATTTGTGCCTGTAATTTAACACACAGAAGATGAAATTCACACTGTTAAGGAGATCAAAGCAAAGACTGTGCTTTGCTCGAGTCCTATTTTGAAGGGTGGTTTAATTCACAGACCTTGTTCTGGCCTTCCACACAGAAATTATATTCACCCACCATCACGGGTCATCACAAATCAGTTAGACAGAAATCAATATGCTATTACTTCAATCAGCAAGAGATGGCCTATACTCAGTTCTTGTCACAATTTAGAGATTAATTAATTACCTATGGAAAATTCGGTTTGTGTGTGTATACTCTACTAGGTTAGGATGAAGGTCACATTTATAAATGTGTGATCACTGATGAAGAAGCCAGGTTAGAAAATTATTCCATTGATTAAACAAGATACAACTGGGAGCAATTCATCTCCCCAAAACGAGTTTCATTTGATGCATGTGGCTTTGTTCTGATTATTCAGTAGTAAATCATACAGCTCCCTTCCTGGCTTTCTTGAGAGAGAACTGAGCTTGCCCTTACTACAGCCCACAGACTAGTTTTTAAAAACCATACAGCTTGTAGATGCAGCTTGCAGAGTCTAGTTTGAGGTCATGTTAGTAAATGAGACGTGCAAGGAAGAGATGCCTTGTCTGTCCTCCATATTAATCAGTCAGAGTGGAAGCAGAAAAACTATCTATTTCATTTTATCCCTTTTAAATAAAAAGAATTAAAGGAATGAAAGCAACAGCAGTAGTTAACTACACTGTCTTGTGTGAGTAAACCAGGTTAAGTCTGATCTGTATCCTCTGAGTTGCTTTTTCAAGGCCTTTTTGTTCACCCAAAAGCAACTGGATTTGGTGATAACAATGGACACAGCATCTTTTTTGCATTAGCTAAATGTTCCAGAAAGTCTTACCTTTGTACTGGGAATACTTCTACACTTTTTTTTTCTCCTAGTTCAAACGAAACTTAAGGAAAAAATCTTGCTTAGCTATAGTTGATTTTAGTTTATGAAGAATTACTGAATTCCTAGAATGTTTTTATGTTTACTCATGAATCATACTGCTAGGTGTTTCCAGTTCTGTGTGCCCTTTAGTTTAAGCATGTGTATATGTTTTTGAGAAGGTAAGATCTTCTCAGAAGAGCAAGTGCCTGGGTTTACTTACTTTAGAATAACTTATTTTTTCTCTATGGCATTCTTGTAAAGCAGTGTGGAAGTAGGTATTTAAGTTTGATTTTGGTTTGATTTTCAGTCGGGCCTAACACCAATCCATGTTGCTGCCTTCATGGGACATGTAAATATTGTATCGCAGCTAATGCATCATGGGGCATCGCCCAACACTACAAATGTGGTGAGTAACAGGCTTCTTTCCAGCATGGCAGAACTGTGAATGCGTTAAAATATCTGTGAGCAGCACTGTTGTGAAGTGCCTGATTCTGGTGCTTGCTGTCCACCTCCATAGCGGTCGTGGATCCTGCTGGAGTCATGGGAAACTGTACCCTGCTGACTCCTGCTTGGGAAATGTGTGACAGGTTGAGGAAGCTGCAAAAGAGGCTGACCTTAAGCAGACTCTATTCTCTTAATTTTTCAAAGTAAAGAATGAGAACATACTTTAGCTTCTCACATGTAATTTTTGAGATGTGTACTTGACTGTTGAGTACTGTTTTCCTAGGACCCTGGGGGCCTACCATTTAAGGGAAGTTCTGCTGTTATCAACAGATTGCAGCAGATTGTTGGGACATATTGCCTGTGTCCGTACAGCCATACAAGTGCCCTTTTCTACTGCATGTGCACTGTGTGCCCCAGGGCTCCCAGGGCATGTGTAAAAACTGAAGTCATTGTTAGATGGATATTTGAAAATTGGGAAATGGGAGGAAAGTAGGAGCTTGTTGATTCTTTTTGACAGTTTGGCCTCAAATTCTCCTTTTCACCTTCCATCCACAGGTGCAGTTAGAAGACAATCTTTTATTAAAGTCTTTACCTCCTAATTCTATTATATTATATAAAACTGCAACAGCATTTGTACATTAGGAGGTTTTTGTACCTAAAGACATATTGATGGCCAAAAATGTAGAAAACTGTTTCCCGTCCTTAACTTATTCTGGTTTCCTTGGATTTGTATTTCACTAAGTCCATGAAGCCTTAGATCAATGTACTCAGTAATGGTTTTTTTTCCTCTTGTTCACTCATCTCAGTGCTTGTCATGTAACAAGTAGGGGCAGAGGACATAGCAGGAGGAAAACCAAAAATATGTGTATTTGAATATAGAAAATTTGAAATAACTTTTTTGTTTCACTAGATTAGACTCTATTTAAATGGATGTCATTTTTAACACTGTTACTAAAATGTTAATAAACACAAAAATTGCACTGTCTCTTTTCAGCAGAAGACTAGTGGCAAAGGCACTATTGTGGTCAGAAAATGACCCTGAAATAAATTGCTAAGAGGTCAAATATTGACTTAATCTCCCATCTTGCTCACAGACAACTACTACAAAATATTCTAGTGGAGATTATTCTGAACTGGGTCACCAGTATTTTTCTATTTATGAAACATGTTGGGGTTTGGTTTTCCTGCAGAGTATTTTTAATGGTACTTTGTTTTTGCTGCTGCGTGCTAGAGAGGAGAAACGGCGCTGCACATGGCTGCCAGAGCTGGCCAAACAGAGGTCGTTCGATACCTGGTACAAAATGGAGCTCAGGTGGAGGCTAAAGCTAAGGTAAGGTGATGGTCCAGGTCTAATAACCTGGTTATCTATATTTAACAAAGCAATTAATCACATTCATCTTGCGTGTGTCTTTTCGAAAGAGAAAGAGAGATGAATCCAAGGGCCTTGGTATAGTGACAACAGTTATTTTGTTACGTACTCTATTACTGTAGTCATGAGTGATCTGTATGTAAGAGAGAAGGCAGGAGATGTCAATACCATGACAGTTTTTTCATCACCGTTTAATATAAACTATTCTGTGTTTGAAGAGTTTTGTTTTGGGGTGGGAAGCAAGGATGGGGAGGAATGCCTCAAATCTGCTTTTGTTTCTGCAAAACTGTAAACCCTAAGCTGCTGGTGTCTCCTGTCATGTACCTAAAGCATCAGCCTGTATGCATTCAGAAATAGTTATACTTCTAAAGAACATCTCCTAAAGTACAGAGGCACAGTAAGAGAATCTGGCAGAGGGCTGGAAAAAAGGAACAGACCCTATAGAAACAATTGCTATTGAGGAAGATAAGGGGGAAGGAAAAAGAAATGGTCAAGAGCCACTGAAGAAACATACAAAATTATGGAAAGAAAAGACTACCAGGAAACAGACAGGGGAGGGAGATAAATGGGTGCAATAAATAGCAGTGTTAAAAGGTAAAACCAGGAAAACTTTTTTTTCCAAATACTGATTAAATGAATAAAATTTCAAAGAAATCTGTTTTTCACTGTGAAATTATCAGCTGTGAATTGGCTCACAAATAATGTTGCTAGTAAGAATACCTACTTATAAGGAACTCTGACTAAATAGTTATAGCAGATACATTTCATACCTGCAAGCAGTCTGAAGTGAATCATGTGGTCTGTAAATCTCCAAAGACAGTCTTGAAAGTGAACAGCTCTGGCTCAGAAGCAGTCATGCAAGTATTTTCTAAATAATTTCACACAATGAATTAATTTGTGCAAACTGCCATTGCCTGTGATCAATTTGTTATCACAAATAACAACTAAATACAAGTAATAGATTACACACCAGTCCTAACATCAGCTGTGAGAAATTTGTGGGAAACAGGCATAAACTGGAAACACTTAAGAACTGTAAAGAGTCTCCAACAGTCAGAGGAGAATTTCCCTGTAGAGAAGTAGCATTTGCATCCTGATGCTCTCTCATCCTAAATCTCAAAGGTGTAAAATCAGTGTTGTAGGATGGACATGGGCAGAAGCTTCCCTAGCAGAAACACCCCAGAACTACTCTGCTGAAGGATGTGGGGTACCAATGCTCAAAAGGTAGGAAATTCAGCAGGGAAAAATGAGGGGAGAAAGATGTTTTAATAGATTTATGAGGAACAGAAAAAAATGTCATAGTCTTTGTTGGCCATACTGTTGCGATAGTGTTCTTAATCCAAAGAGTGTACAGCTGAGAATGGGGAGGACAAAAATACAAAACCAAGTAATGAATAAGCAAGAAATTATCTATTAGCCACTCAGAACAAGGTCATAACCAACCACAATATTTTCACTGAAGGAAAATAAGTAAACAACGAGACTCATGACAGGGCAACCCCTGTATTTAGAACTATTAGGTTTATTGCGTTCTGAATGAGCAGTGAGAAATCAACAGTGAATTTCAGCACCATGCTTTGTCTTCAGTTACATCCACTGTAAAGTTATCTGCAAAATACCAACCAAATTTTTCACCAGTAAAAAAAAGCACAATATGATACTTAACGCAAGTTACTAGGCAATAACACATTAAGCACCTCAGGTCATCCCAAACAACTGGTTGAGTTGTTAAATGTTGCTGGGAATCATAAAAGAGATTAAGATGTGAGAAACAGAGCTATGCATTCACTGTGCTTTAAGAAAGGTCTCAAATTCAACAGGAAATTCAATGCACCTTAGAGGCAAAGCAAAATGAAGCAAATCCATATTAAGAAAATTGATCAATTTATTTACTGTTAAGGATTATGTACCTGTCTGGAATATTTTGTGATGTGTCAACAAAGCACAATATATCTTTACTATATGACAAAGCATGAAATATTCATGAGGTAAGACCTCAGTAGAATTAGTGCTTACCTGCAATTTTGAAAAGTGACAGAATCTGGGCAAATATTTTCTGTCAAAATATGAATCTAGGTTTTCTTATGTAGGACGGTGTTGTTTTCCTTTACATTTAGGATGACCAAACGCCACTGCACATTTCTGCTCGACTGGGAAAAGCAGACATAGTACAGCAGCTGCTACAGCAAGGAGCATCTCCAAATGCAGCTACGACATCTGGCTATACGCCCCTGCATCTTTCTGCTCGAGAAGGACATGAAGATGTAGCTTCTGTTCTTTTGGATCATGGTGCATCTTTATCTATCATTACCAAGGTAAGGGAGGTGTGAAAGTGAGAGATTCAATAGTAAAATATACCTGTAGCAAGTGCTACTTGTGAATTAAATGCTGCAAGAGTCACACACACATTCAAATAATGTAAGAATGAGCTATGTTTTGTTAAAAGGGTAAAAAGCTTCATTCTTTTGCGTCAGAGCCTGATCTATAACATATCCCAGCAACCAGACATGCATTTTCTCTGAATGAAAGGAATGTAGGGCAGACAATCTTGATGGGAGTTGATAAGCTGTTACACAGCCTTGTCTGTGGGTCTTTGATGGTGTGAAGAAAGGAACTGACTCTTCCCTTTTCACAGTTGTTTTAATGTAGATAGGGCTTTGCCTGGCAAGGGAAGGCCTCCAGACCTGCCAAGGCAGTTGGGAAGCTGCAGACTTGCTGCCTGTACTCAGGACTATGTACGGGGACAGATGGAAACAGCCGTATCCTTGCAGATCAGAATCAAACCTTGCCCTGAAAGAGAGTGCATAAGGCTGCTATATAACTGCTTTCTCTTACAGAAAGGATTTACTCCCCTACATGTGGCTGCAAAATATGGGAAAATTGAGGTAGCCAACCTACTGCTGCAGAAAAATGCATCTCCTGATGCTTCTGGAAAGGTAGGACAGAAGAAGCCGCTGCCACTTGCACAGCAAATATCTAAATGCACAGAATATTCTAATAATATCCTTCTACCTGCTTACCATCACACTAATATCCACAGCCTGGGTTTAACTGGAATGGGTTTAATGTAATATTCCAGTCCCTGTTGGGGCTGCCAGGAGTCAGCAAACTCTTGAGAAAGGTGACTTTTATTGTCATTAATTGACAAAATAATTATGTCTTCTCTGTACCCATCCAGGGTAACAGAGACAAAGCACTCCCCTACCTTCCTGCACAGACTATTTACAGTCCTTATCAGAGTATCCAGGCAGAAGGCTCTGCTCCCCCAGGTCTCATGACAGGGGCGAAGCCCAGCAGGACCTCAAGCTTTTTAAACCAGCCCAGCTTGGATTTTTACAGATCCAAGGGACAGTTTACTTATCTGCTGCAGTAAAAGAAAAACATTGCCAAGGGTGTGACCACAGGGTCAAAATTCCTTACCTGCTCTGTGCTTCTTTGTTCATCTTCCCTGGGAAAAGTGGAAAGGGCTTCACAGCTCACTTAGGATTTTCAAACCTCTGTTCTATTTTTTGATTCTGAAGGTATCAAAGACTCAGATACAGGAATGAATAACAAATGTATTTTTTCACGTTATCTACTCTAATTTTCCAAACTCTTAAGTTTTCCCTGGAGAGGGTCTGTAACAGCACTTGTTTGTTCTGCATGTGTTTTTAGAGCGGTTTAACACCACTGCATGTAGCTGCACACTACGATAATCAAAAAGTGGCACTCCTACTGTTGGACCAGGGAGCTTCACCTCACGCATCTGCCAAGGTACAAGTACTGGTCACTCTGGGGTAACAACACCTAGGCTTTTTGTGTCACTTTATTTCGTCTATCTCTGTTCCTTATAGACTGTATATGCTTGCAACTGTAGGGAGCTCAGTGACCTTGTTTATTAATGTCTCACAACCACATAAAGCTGTTAGAATAATTCTGCAGGTGAATAAAATAGCATTAAAAAGAGCAAATATAGATGTAGAAATGTTTAAAATCTGTAGTTTCAATAAAGGTCAGTCTCAGTGAATGCTGAGCCTTGCTTTCGCTTGACCAGTCGCCTCAGTACCTTCTCCAAGCAACTTTATATCATTGCATCTTAACATCTGTGCAGGGCAAGCTTGGAGTTAATGCCTTGCTAAACAGAGGTAGTTCTATATTGTGCCACAGGATGACTTCTGAGGTGTGATACGTTTTTCAGTACAATGTAGGTAATTATTAGTGTGCTTCACAATAGTTCTACCACAGTGTAAATGGACTGATGAGAAAATAAAGTTACTAGTCACTAGCCTTGCTTTGACTGCAATTTACTGTAAGCACATAACGTCAGATTTCAGGGGATGTGAAAGAATAAATATTTAAAGGTATTCTAGTTCTGAGTAGAAGAAAGAATTTAAAGAATCTTAAAGTGTCTTCTGTGGATCCCAGTTTTAAGTATGGATCAATAGTCAATAGTTGGACAGCAACAATAAGTAAAACAGGGTGGAAGCGTATGTATGTTCAAGTGGGGTAAGTGTAGTGTAAATACCCCATCTGAAACAACACAGATACATTCCTAAAATCACTGCAAAAAAAACACCACTGTGGAACAGGGAGAGCTAGTGGAAAGGCCATTATTGTAGATAGACAGCTCCTTGATTGCCTTCCTCACACATGACTGAGTACAGCCATAACACCAGAGGGCTTCTGCATGGCTACAGAAGAGGATGGAGTCTGTCATACATGGTAGGTCCCAGAGCTTATAGTGCAAAAGAGAGGAAAGTTAAATAAACATGGATAGCCAGCAGCAACAGCACAGTCTAAAATCAATAATGTTGATAGTGGCAATCTGCCAGAGCAGTGCCCCGGGAGGTGAACTGGAGTGATCTCTGATCTTTTACTACTGCAACACAACGCTCCTAAATGCCACTATGGGGAAGAAAGGGCCTTCTGAAGGGGATGAGAAGGCACTGACCCAGTTTTCACTGAATGAAACTGCCAGTGGAAGCTGTGCATCCTGTAGGGGCAGGGATTGCAGCAGCCGCTGTCAAGGGCTTGGGAAGTCCAAACCAAGGTGGAAGCACTACAGACTATGGTATAATGTTACACAAACTCGTGTGTCAGGTCACCTTAGCTTCCCCATCTGTAACAGAACAGTTTTGCAGCTGCCACTTCAGGCCTTCAAGTGCCAGCTCTAATTCTTCTTAAAAGAAAGCATTTGTTAGCGTTCTGCAGCAAGTGAGCCACAGCAACACTGAGTAGAGCGTCAATACTGAATAAAATTAAGAGTAGCATGTTTGTTGCTTTAGGCACCCACTGTGCAGTCATCTGAAAGATGGTGTTGGTAATAGCAGATGATTTCCCATTTCTGTTGTAAATGTGGGCTAATAAACAAATGTGTTATGTCATATATAATCACTGGCTCTACAGTTAGTTTCATCAGCAGTTGCTTTTTCTGTGACACTCCTGTCTTTAACACTGACCTTAGGACTGTCTTATTGTCCTGGCCTGGCAGCATTTGCCTTGAAGAGTGATCGGTGAAAGGGTATGGGAAGTGGCCGTGTCAGAATGTAATGTTGTCACACAAAGAGCTGTTCTGATGAACTATTCTTCTCTTTTATAGACCAAAATCAGGCTTGTGCCTAATTTCAATCTGGCCTCCACCTTACAATGGTTCTTGTCCTCTTCCGTCCTCCCCCAAAGCCTCAGTTTTTCTCTGTTCCTTCATCTTTAACTTTTCCCCCTTTTTACCTCTTTTCCCTGGCAACCAGAATAACCCAATACCCTTCCTTCCAAACTTCTCCATTCCCTCCTGCCTCTATGCAGAGTGACAGAGTACAGCCCTTATCATGAGGTGAAGATGCAGGATGAGACTGAGCTGAACTTCAGCTTTTATTTTTCAGCTCTGTTTTTGCCTGCTGTTGGCGACCCACTGCTTTCCATTCCACTGAAAATAATGTATGCCCATTTCTGAGGAAAAAGCTTGAAAACAATATTTTTCTACAAAATAGACATGAGCTCCATTTAAAATACACAGCTGAGCATGTACACAGGATTTAGCATGTAGTATTTAGAATTTAGTAGGTGCATATGTGGCGATAGCTGTTTTACATTTCATTTTCATGCAGGAATTCTAAAGGAGAGGATAGTGTTTGTTTCTTCCAAAGCTTTTTATCTTCCTAGTGAAAATTCAGTGGCCATCTGTTTCCCTTATTAATTGTGGCACTGTGTTTCCCAGGTGTCATTTTGAAATATCTTAGGTCTGAACAAAATCTGAATTAAATTTTGAAGGTTACAGAACCTTTTCCATGTGGAGTTAGTGCTGTGTGTGTGTCTCACTTTCAGATTAGTATTAAAACTCTCTTCTAATAATTTCTGTGCCCCTGTGTATTTATTCTTTGCTCCTACCTGCATTGCCTTGCATCTATTGTGACCTGCTGTCCCATATAGGCCAGATCTGCTGCCCTACAGGGCACAGGGAGGAGCCAAGCCTAGTGAATGCTTTGTGCCTTTAGATAGCTTTTATTGGGCTTTGTAATCGGAGGTGTATGTGGTACTTACGATACCATACAAAATGGCTTATGGAGCTAGGGTCTTATACCCCCCAACCTTCTTCCTTAATCACATTCATACATGTGCACATTTGCCATTTGCTTTAAAATGAGGGCTAATACATTTCTGAAAGACAGAAAGTTCTTGATTAAACGGGCATTGCAATCTGTACCTAAAGCTGGTCATACCTTAGTCAATGTTTTGATATTTGTGTGCTAATCACTTTTCTGCCAAATCCATTCTTTCTTAGAATTATAAAATTTTATAATGCAATAGATGCTGCAATTTTATTTTTCATAGCAGGCTCACTAGGCACTCATATTGGAAGGAATAAAAAAATAAAGAATGTAAATCTCTAAAGTCATACGCTTTAATTTTCCCTTGATCTGAACAAAAAAGAGCCTGTTAGTAAGGTTAGGGTAAATGCTGCAAGAAAGGCCATGTTTTCATGTACATAATGCTTTCATTCACGCTGGGAAATGGGAAAAAAAACCAAACAATAACAGCTGTTCTGACTTATGAACGCACATACTGCTCTTCTGTTTGTTAAAGATTTTATGTACATTTAAGGAAAAGTAGAAAATGTCTGTGAAAGGAAACTCAAATTCCTATTGCTATAGGATGTGCTCTTCTGAACAGACATTTTTTTTCCCAAATTTGAAAGTTTCTTTCATAATCCTCCTATTTGTAGCGGTGCTTTCAAAATCAGATTGCCTAAAGCGCTGATAGATTCATTTATACAACTATTTAATATTGTATTTGACTACATTTGACAGGATTTTTAGAACTAATGACTTTCATAGAGTCAGGTAGGTACAGGAAAGCGATTTATCACATTGTTTAATGAGTAGCCTACAATGAAGTGCTTTCTGTTGACAGAATGGCTATACACCACTGCACATAGCTGCCAAGAAAAACCAGATGGACATAGCAACGACACTGCTGGAGTACGGTGCTGATGCCAATGCTGTAACCAGACAGGGTATCGCCCCTCTACATCTTGCCTCTCAGGATGGCCACGTGGACATAGTGTCATTGCTTCTCACTAGAAATGCCAATGTAAATCTCAGCAACAAGGTAAGTGTTCGCCCTGCTTGGCAATAAACAAGCATGGTGATAAGAAGGATAGTGGCTTGAAAGTAAATTTTGTCCACTGTGATTCTGCAGGTTTTGAAAACTGCTGCAGGTGTTTGAATACACATCATCATTTCTTCTAGCAAAGAGAACAGCATGCAGCATGCCATGTCACATTGAATGAACTGTGTTTCATAGAACCCAAGTTTTGATGATAGCATGTGCTTCAGAGGAACTTATTAATCCGTCTCTCTTTCTTCCATATTAAGCTAGTCTGCTAAAACATGCCCAGAGGGAAGATGTCTTCCTCCCCTCAGTGGTTAGTGGGACTGGTGCTTGTCATTTATGAGCCTCTAGATATATGTGCCTGCCCATAAAGCAATGGTAACAACTACCTTGTTAAGGGAAGCAGGTAGAAACACTCGGTGTCCTCTGATGCTGGCAGGTAGAAAGACTCAGTGTCCTCTGATGCTGTGGTGATGCTGCACAGGGCTGCTGTGTTTTCATGTTTCTGACTTTACAAACTGGTTATTTTTGGACCCTCCTTTCAGGAAGCTTCTCTTGTAGATGTTGATTTTTTTTTTCCACAGTCTCAATCAATTGTGTGGGCTTATGCAGTACAGGATGTACTTTGATCCCCACAGAGCAACTTGCCATGTACACATTCTGCATCACATTGGCTATCATGGTTTTGCTATTAAGGCTAATACAGAGAACAAGATTGCAGCAGTTCAGCATTTTGATTCAGCTCCACCAGAGGTTAATTACCTGTAACATCCTTCAATCTGTTAGCGCTCAGTTATAATCTCTAGTTTCTCATTATACTGGTAACACCACCTTTTGAAAATAGTTCCCCTGTACTCACTTAGGGTTGCATGTTTCCTCTGAGCTCAGCAGCTATACTTGAAGCCAGATATTTAAAGCACACTAACTTTTGAGTTTTGCAATGGGAATAAAAAGAGCATTTGTTTTCTTCAGGATCCACAGAATGGTTGGGAGCTGAATACTCAGAGCCCCATTGTGGACACTGAGCACTTATTAAATTTTTTAGAAGGTTTGACCCATAATATCCAGGCTCCATTAGGTAATATACTGTTGGTTACTGTTACATATTTGTGTAACGTGACCCACCCAAGCTGCACTGTCATCAGGATTTCATTTTCGAGTGCAGTACAGTGGGATGCTCTCAGCAGTTACTGCCTTTGGTGGCGAGTCCCCTGTGGACCTGAGTTTGGGTTCAAGGGGAGGAAACTTAGCAACTGTTTCTGCCTGATGTGCCAACTGCTGCCAGCCACTCTTCTGCCACCAGTGCTAAAGGCAGTAGGAACAGGAGGAGAGAAAAAGAACTATAATTTGCAAGTAAAGGATGTTCTTTCCCATTCCTAACAACATCCCCTCAGCAGATTCTCTCTTCTCCTTTTACCTGAGGTCTTTTATGTGGCAGAAATTTGCATAGCTTTGTGGGGTTTTAAGAATTTTAGATCTTGAGTTTCAGCTAAGAAAAACAATGAGCTATCCAAAAAGTAAGAGTGTCAGTACATGTCATCTAGCAAGTCTGTATACACTCTGGGTGAAGAGAAATGGACCTGATCTCAGAGAAATGTAGTTTTGTCTTGTCTGTGTTTGAAGATGATCAAGTAGAGGAGAAAAAGGGAAGGATAAATCTGAGTGAATGTTACTTCTAGAGAACTTGAAGAATTGTAAACAAGAATTCAATATTTCTTTTAAAATATTACTTATTCTAAGGAAATGAATTAGTCAGGAGGTAAAAAACTACTGTGCAACTTTTTCTTTAAGTGCTCTAATTTTCTATCCCACATTGAACACAGCATGAAGAAATATTCCTTGTGTAAAAGAAACATTATCTTCCTGGCTTCCAAATTGTGCTTTCTTGCAAATTAACAAATGTGATTAGGAAGCACAATACACAGTGAAAGTGGAATTTATTATTTTTTAGATTCAGCAGGGTGTTTTGAGTCTTAGTGATACCTGAATTTGTGTTTTAGTATTCATGTAGCTCCTCCTGAGATTTCTTCATTGCTTCTAATTTACAGAGTGGACTGACGCCACTCCACCTGGCTGCTCAAGAGGATCGAGTCAATGTAGCAGAGGTTCTTGTTAACCAAGGAGCTGCTGTTGATGCACAGACAAAGGTACAAACACCACTGTCAACATGTATTGTTTCTTTTCAGGGAGGCATCAGCCTGAAGACTGGATTAGTAATCAATTTCAGGGTGAAACTGAAATAAGAGCAGAGAAACATTCCTTGTAATAAATTATTATATAACATATTCTGAGAACTGAAGATATGAAAACTTGAATGTTTTCATATGCTATGCTCAGTCTTTGACAGTAAGCTTATTTCTTGACAAATATTTAGATCAATACAGATTTAGATTGTATTCTACTATTGTTTTTCACTGAAAATAAGTGGGATTGATCTGTGTTTTGTTTTTTTTTATGTAAGGAAACTTTCAGAAAAGCTTGCGCTCTCTCTACAGAGAGTCACATAATCTTTCACCATATGCATACTCTCATCTGCTTTTGGTATTTTTTACATGTTGCACGTACTTTCCATTCAGCTGACAGTAGAAACAAAACACAGGAGAAATGTTACTTAAAACATCTGTGTTTACAGCAAGAGAAACATTGTGTATGCAATGTAGGTGTTCCTGGCTATTAAGTGGTTAATACTTTTTCCCATGACTTAAGAGAATTTATGAAATGAAGTAGTCTTCTTTCCCTGAGCTGGTACTAAGTAGCCATCCATAGACATGAATTCTGTGAGAAAGCCATTGTTAATTTGTAAAGATTACCTCCTACTCGTACAGCTTGACTCAGCCTTCATGACTGGATGCCTCTGAATTTCTAAGCCACTTTGTTTTGCAAAGCATAGTGAGGTGACCTATTTCATCATGTGGGTACATTCTACGTGCCTGACTTTTTCTGGTGTCCCACGTTCAGACTAGGCCATTATTCTGATGGTAAACATTAGCCCATTAGGTTGTCAGTAAATATTGCTCTACTCTACCTTCAAAAATAAAATTAGAGATGAAACATTTAACTCTTCAGGACAAATCTGAAATTCTTTATCACTGTTTTCTAATATGAAATACATATATGCGATGGTGGTCCATTTCAAATTTACTTGCCTAAAGATAGTTTTCCTAAAGTAAATATTTGGGCTCCTAAGTAAGAGACCTGGCTTTCCAAGGTGCTTGGGGATGCTTTTGAGACCCCAAGCAATGATGTCTCTGACTTCACAGCATTGGTTTTGAGAGCAGTGTCATCAGTAAACTCCAGTTCCTGTGTACAAATGGGTTTTTGCTCGCTAACAGTTTACACGGCGCTCAGAATTTAGTGATAATGATCTCAGAGTTGATTACACTTGCATTCTTCATGCACTGTCTTGATCTGAGAGTCATTCCTTTAGCTGGATAAGAAATCAGTTGTGATCAAATACTTGGACTGTAGCTGATCAAATGAGCTATATGAACCAAGTCTCACAGTCTGACCTGCACCCTTTGTGCAGAGTAGCAGCTTTCACAACTCACAGCTAGGTGTGTGCCACAAGTTAGGTGCTGTGCTTGCATCCCAGAAATGTCCAGGTGTGTCAGACTGTCCAGCAATATTATCATTCTGTCATCACACTGATGTTTCAGAAAGGGCTGAATCCACCATCATCTCTGGCTGCAGCTCAGCTGATTATAATCAGTGGCAGAGGAAAAAGTCATTGTGTGATTTTTCTACTGTGTAATTCCAACTGTACTGGCTACTGATTTCAATGACGTTATTCTGACATTAAATTGAAATAGTTCTGCTGAAATCCCAGGAGTTTCTCACTTTTTGTAACATATCCTCAACCTGTATTTTACAGATGATCAGTCTGGGTTCCTCTCATCTGCTAAATCATCCCGCAGCAGATAAGATCTGCACTGGTTCATTCTTTGCAGGATTTCCTCAGATGTCTATGGTTGCCTTTCTGGAACCAGTTCCTAGCTGGTTTTGGTTTCTGTAGCAAGACATTGTAGAACTTGCTCTTTTAACTTGGCCTGAGCTGAATCGCCTCTTAGCCCGTACAACTTGTTTGTGAGTGTTTGCCTTTCTCCCACTCTGCTCTGTCCCACAAATAGCAAGTAGTCTAAGGAGACATTTACATTGACAGGTGCAGGCAGCCACGTGTTCCCTTTGCCTGCTCTCCAGTGTCCAAACAGGATCCAGTTCCGGACTTGTAGCCTTTTAGTCATGTCAGCACAGTGGAAATGTCTGAGATCCTGTCACAGCTGAGAGGCAGGGCATGTTTGTGCTGGCACAGTTGCACAAGCTCTGTACTGAACTTTAAGCCTGGCAGGGTGGCAATGTGGTGCAGCAGGACTGTGACTCTGTAGAGAGACGCAAAAAAGGGGCTTCAGTTTCTCATTCAGAGATCTCCTCTGGGTGGAGCTGAATTTCTTAATTCCATCTCTGAAAATTGAACTAGTCAATAGGTAAAACCGTGCACAGTGGGAAAAAAATGCAGTCATATTTGACTGTCTGCAGCATGAATCCTGGCATCCGTAATAGTCATATAACTCTATAAAAGCAACAGTAAGTTCCTTGTTGCTCACCTTCATTCCTCAGTTATATATTTAACGAGTGCAAGTAAAGAATAGTTTCTCAGTGCACTTTTGCTTCCATGGGACCACCCCATAGTTGTCAGGAAGTGGGGCAGGGACTCATAGGTCAGACAGAGTCATGGTGTATTTAAGCAGAACTACTTTGTGGTGTAACAAATCACCTGTCTGGGAAAATGTGCATTGTTAATCCTGTAGGACTCTGTGCTGAAGAGCACTTGCAATGGCTTGTTCTCCTACCTACCATGCTAATTTGCCCTCTCTGCTGGAGGGGACTGTCTGCTCCTTAGGAAGGCAGTGCCCACATGCCTTGCAGGATTGTGTTAGAGTGGAGTGAGCTTGGTGCTCATTCACTGGCTTCTGCAGAGTCCGGTCTGCTGGGTTTGTGCAGCAGTGAGCCCTCCAGGCTCCAAACAATCAGCTGTATGCGGATTGTCTGCCAGATATCCACTCACTGCTGTGTGTGACAGAAGAAAAGTGCCAGTGCAGTACAAAGTATTTTAGCACGGAATGGTTTCTGGATAAACTGATGATCATCTTGAGTTCCTGAGGAAAGTGCTGACAAACTCAGAACTTCTACAGTGAAGGAAAAGTGTTATGCTGTAAGAACTACTATACCTTGACCTCATGTTCCATGCAGGACAAGTTTAGATGATTGGCTTGTAAAATAGCAGTTCTGTAGTTACAAGCTCTCTTGTTTAGATGGATTAACTGTTCTATGGGAATAAAAGGTCTGTGCATGCTGCTTCTAAAACCAGAGGCACTGGGGAGAAAGATACATCAACAGCTGAGTTGACTTCAGAAGCACTGTTGCTATGCTTGCATGTTTGCACAATACCGTCCAGCATGTCCAGTTCAGTTCATTATTTCGGACATACAGTGGAAGAGATGTTGCCATCCATACCTCAAATGTCAGTGAAGCTGCACAGCTTAGTGTGGTATTATATTGGGGATCTCTGCTACCAGCAGCGTCACCGCTAACCTTCTGTTTTCTTCTCTCCGTTTCATGTCCATACACTTTTGTTACCTCAATTATCATAGTCTAGATGACTATTTGGTAGTCTTTTTTTCTTTGTTTTTCTTTGTTTAGATTCTCTCCTTATCATATTCCTCATTTTCCCAGGTTAAGTAAACATCAGTTATGTCACTCCAGCACAGTATCTGTCAATAGAGGGAGAACACTTAATATCTTAGCAGGTCTTTCAACTTCTTGGTTAGGGACCAGTGAGCTATCATTTTCCACCTCTGGTACATGTTCTTTAAACATCATTTATATATAACTGACGCTGCTTGTGAAAACATCTAGAGTTTGCAATTCTGATCCATGGGAGTTCTTACTCCTGCTCAAGTTCTGAGGGCCACACACAACTGGGGTTTTTCAGGTGATTAGAGGAGAAGATTGGGAAGAAGATTGTAACTTGAAGCTATAGCAGGGAAGAAAAAAATCTAATACCACAGAAAACCTCTTGTGCAGGAGATTAGTCTGTATGATTAAGATCAGTTTGGTCACTAAAACTTATGAGCATTTTCAAAATTGCTCTCAAACCTGAACTATTGCAAGTGTGATTCTTTCTTGGGGTGGTTTGTAAATTTTTTTACTGAGCCTTGTTGTAGAAAAGGGCGTGAAAGGAAGAATAGCTGCTGATTTTGAAGTCCATTTATTGATGGCATTATGGGATCCTTCTGGTTGTTCTGCATCAATTAACTAAATAGCCTCTAATCCCAGAGCTGCAGGAGTCTGTCTCAGTCAGCACTGCAGAGTAAACAACACTGGTTTAGCATGCCAGAACTAGTGCTTGAGAGGCCACAAGGCTGCTCCTGTCACTTGAAGATGGGATTTTGATATGTGATTTTAAGCCTAGCCCCTTTAGACTGAGCTCCAATTGCTAAGCCACAGAAAACATCTTATCTTAACATGCAAGAACCAAATAATAGAATGGTGGAATAGTAGCAACACTAAAATGCACTTCAGGTGCTAAAGCTTCAGAGCTGCTTCAAACCCCTTCACATTTAGAAAGCTTTAAAAACTGAATTAAGTGTTCATAGAAGGCACGTTAGGTTACCACTGCAGAGGCAGCAGTTTTTGTCCACTCTGACATTACATTTTTGTGTCTGAATTTAGGTATATTAAAGAGTGTTCAATGCTGAAACTCTGTTATGCAATATCATGCTTAACATAAGGAATGCTCATCTTGCATGTAATATTGGGAGTTAAAAGTCAATCGTAAGCCATGGCTGTGAGCAGATATTCCTTCTCTGGTGGTCATGTTGGGTGTGTAATAGCTGTAGTGGTACATGTGATGTTGCTTTTTTTGCAGGGCTTTTGTGCTGAGAGTTGGCATGAGTAAGTATTGTTTCATGGCTCAGCAGGTCTCCACATGTAATTTTTCAACTGTTTATCCCGCTGGATAGTGTTATTGTAGGATACAGCATTACTGTAATGGACTGCAAAG